TAACAAACTATTATTTTGTTATGTGGACAGAACTGATTTCCTGATGAACTACAGAAAAAATTTGTAGAACCTACACTTTTGGGGGGTTTTGTGTAGGTATTAGCATCTTTTGCTGCCTTGCTGGTGGGGTGGTCAGAAGCGCGATTACCAAACAAGGTATTTCGGGCCGAGTATTATTGTATTGTATTATAGGCAAATGCTAAACTAAAAAAGGGTGTTCATTTACTCATTTGGATCTTTCATAAAATAAAGACCAATCTTTGATAAAAACTTGATCTAATTACGTTCCTGTCTATCATTGTTATGCATTCCTTGAAGGAGTAGGTAGAGATGTAGGCAAAGGATAAAAGATGAAGACATCTCAGCCTACGTGTTCGTAGAAAAACAATTTAGTGATACCGTATACCTACGTATAAACGGAGGAGTGGAATCTTAGCATGAAAATAATATAAAGCCACGAAAACACAACAACAAGCATTATCTCGCCAAAATCCTTGTATCGAGTTCTGGAATCGTTCGCATTGTTGTCCTTTGTGTTCGCGTTCGCATTCGTTTTCCATCGTACACCATTATTCACATTAAGTGGACAGATCTCGGGTCAGATCCAGGCACAAGAAAAGCACAAAAAGTGCCCGCTTTATCCGAGCATGATAAATCTACTTCAAATCCGAGAATAGCGTCTTTTATGAACGAAATTGAAATAAACCGACCGTGCGGATAACGGCTAAGTAAGAAGATCGAGATCCCTTTAGAATATATTGGTGAATCATTTTCATTCATCAAGCCTACTTAGAATACGTCTCCCAGTACTTGTGTAGATAGGGCCTTTCAAAGTAGTTTACATCATTAATTTATTTTGCCACAGAACAAACTCTCCAATTTAGTTCGTGTATTTTTATTATTGTACAAACTTGTTGGGCGGTCGGGTTCGACTGTGGATCTACAGAACAATTTTGTTCAAATTTTATTAAGTGATTTCGTGTTTACGTAATATTTTAATGTGTGTTTTTGTTACTCACAAATGGTGCACGTTTACGCGTATCTATCGATGACCTTTAAAATAATCCTTATTCGCTACGAGAACGAAGTCAAAACGTCAACTCGTCACATCTAAACCTATCCAACCATTCCAATCAGTCCATCGATTTTACTTTAAAAAATCTACAGTAACGTAGATTGACTCAATAACAACAACGGATTAGATTTAAAATTGTCGACATCAATTCGAAACATAGATCAACCAATTCTTTGATTTTATTTCTCACTGAAACATTTATTTTCGTTTTCTCTTATTCCACATAATAGATCGTTCGGAAGATATGTCCCTATTTTTAGTGGTAGAGATGAAATCGAGCGTGAAATGGTTACCACACGGAGCGGTTGTCTCGTGAACAAACGAATACCGGATCGCCGTTTGCCGCCGGGGCGTTTGCCGGAAAATTGGCTGGCACACCGCTATGCTCCGGCTTAATAATAACAATGTATTGAATGTCTACCCGCTCCGTGATGGGCAACTATACTGATACAGTGCCTGTTACGGTATATTGATTAGTTAAAATGATAAAATTCAATCCTTACGTGTACACAAATTGATAAAATGCCTATAGTTTCACGTATTTTCATTAACAGGAGTAATTTGTTGCACGTAAAATTAGGCACGGGTGCCAAACAGATGCATACACCTGCGTGATATTTTTTAATTACTCAAGAGCGTATTATGTACTCTTTATTCTAACTTCGTTTAGAAAGTAGAACTGTCAACGTTTCAACGAATAGAACAGTTGACGGACTGACGGAAATCCGTCAGTCTGTCATTGTACTTTTTAATGCATATCAATTTCGATTTGGTTTTTTTTACAGTGTGAAAATAAATATTTTAGCGTTAATCGGATTTCAATAGCAATCAAATTTCTCTATGCTTTGATTCGATTTATATCAAGTGTAAGAATTGACCAAAAATGAGTGATGAGGAGCCTGAAGAAAACCAAATGCGCAAAGCATTAACTGAAATAGCTAAAGAAGTTCAAAAGTATGTATTTTAAATAAACTTCAGTATATTGGTCAGTAAGTAAGGTCACAGGGAACCGCTGGATACAAGTTCCAACCGGCCGATCTAGTAGTCTTCGAGACAGGCCTATATTCGGTCAATGAGTCGTCTTCAGGGGTTCAATAGTGGACGTCATGGGGCTTGATATAGTGATGACGATGGTGATAATATGTGCAGTTTTTGCAAGATGGTGACAAAATTACACTAGTTCATAAGTAATGGCCTCGTTAATCTGACGTTGGTAAACTTGACTGTACACCCATCTTAAGACTTAAGCCAGCCAACTACAATAACTTACTTTATCACGGAAGGAAATATCTCATTATGATTAGGCATTACTATGCTATCAATTTATACACCACAACTTCATACCGTTGAGTCTCCTTTCTTACAAGTTTTAATAGAGACATGGGCATCCAAATTATCTCAATGTGCAAGGGAGTTAAGTGTTGATCTCGTTCGTGCTACGGCCTACTATGCTACGCCGTAGCTACGACTACGAACAATTTCGTAGGCGCATCTTTCTAATATATTTTTTATCTTTTAAATGAATCACTTTTCTTTCACTTTTTACATGAAACCCTAAATGATACCTAAAATCTTATTCGGCAATGAATTGGCCTTTCCAGACTCCATAAAAACACTATATCTGCAAAAAGTAAGAAATGTGACGCTGAAGAAATTTTAGGTCAACTTTTAAAATGCAAGTCATCTTTGAATTTGAGAACAATTCAAATAAAAAGATTGAAAAATTCTCTTAAAACTGCTTGCGGTAAGTGACGTTGATGTCTTTAATACGGATTTAAAGGGTAGCATTGAGTGACCTATATGTCACAGGACACGCTGATCACTAAACCGAAACTGATGTGTTAGTTTATAAGTTACTTTAATTATTACTTTTGTTATTTTAGTTTAGTTCAGCAATAAAGGCTTTTTTTTATTATTATTATTGAGTGACCTTAGTTTTACCTTTAAAAACTCATAATTTTTTCGCAGCTGTTGCCAAAACTATGTCATCAACTAAAGCAAGCGAAATAGCAACGCTAACAAGTCATTTAGATTTTGCTAGAAAAAATTATTTGAATTTAATACGACAACAAAGTGAGAAAGACGAAATAATTACCAACTTAAGCACAGAAAACCACGCTTTACGGGATCAGCTTCAATTTTTCGAAAACGTCATTAGACTTGGGTATCAGGAATTACAGAAAAGAAGGGATGAAGAACACGTAGAAAATATTTCTAGCCTAGAACAATTGAAACACATTTTAGCTTCCTGTGGACAGTTTTATGCGGATTACTGCAATGAACACGAGAAACGCATTCAACTGGAACAAAAGAACAAATTTCTCAACACACTAATGACAATGGAAAATAATTTAAAACCTAAGGAGAAAGTAGGCTCTGTTTGTATAAACAAGGACAAAAAATGCCCTCCGCCAAGCCCTCGACAACGTATTGGTTTCGCACGGTCTGAATTTAAAATAGGGTCTCATCAAAGAAACTTTACTAATCTGACCATGACAAAAATTGAATTAAATAAACATTTATCACTATCACCAACAAACAGTAGGGATTTGGACTTGACGACACATTTAAAAACGGTAAAGCAACTTCTTAATGATCAAGATAATCTTATTAAAGATTTGAAGAGCCTTTCGAAAGCAATAAATGTTGATGAAAGTTATTGAAAGTATTTATTTTTAGCATCGTGTTATTGTGTCATTATAATTATCTCCATATATACTCTAGGTTCTACATATACTCCGGGAAAATCAAATAATTATATCAGTAACATAGATATTTTCAGAATAGGATTACATTCATTCATGAGTTTTGCTGTTTATGAGAAGTTACTGTTGGTAGTCTTCCCTCCCATATCCCTATACATATACTTATACACATGCCACAGTTTTGTGAGATTGCTTATTGACTTCTGACTTCAAGTTTCTGTACATATCGTTAATTTTTTCTCATCAAATCCTGAATTCCTGACCTGGTGACAATGGACAACCTCGGAAGTGTAACCTTTCAAATAAAAGAAGAATTTCAAAAATCGGTCCACAAACATCTGAGTAAACATACATACTTAATTACATAAAACAACAATCATTAGGTGCCTAGTTAGCCCTGGATAATATATCCCGAACTACTAACATCGTTTTGTTCGCAGTTCGGGATCGGTTTACCCGCGTATCGCCCCTCACACGATCGCCTTATCCAGACGTCTTCGTTAGACGACTGTATGATTTTTAGACTGTATTATTGACAACAAATATAAACCAAAATCACTTAAATCAAACCAGTAGTTTTTCTATTTATTGATTTTTTAGTAGTTGGTTCAAGAGTTTTTTAAACAAAACCAAAAATGTTGAATATCTCAGAAATTAATTTTCGGACTTGGGACAATTTTGTAGGAAATTAATTGTTAGTATTTATTATCTCTCGAGAGGAATACGTCGAGTTAATAAAACACGCTGTTTATTCGAAAAACAATAACTGAGGGAAGTGGAAGCTATTCCCGTTTCTTCTTTTTGCGTGAGATGTATTCTGATATTTTTCACATCAAGAAGTTCGAAGTTTGAAATAAACAATGCAAATGTTAACTCTAATACGTTTCGTCTAATATTAAAATAAAACAGTTAGTGCAATAATATAATCTAATCAATTTATGGCAAATAGTAAAATTATAATAATAGTTACAAAACAAGCTTCCTCGTCTATTCTACGTTGCCGTGCCCTACGAGGTCCATATTGTACCAAAATATCTAATGTAACACCTTCATGAAACATGGAGTGCAATAAAATATTGAATTGAATTCGTTTTGTAAGTTTTATAATTTTTAAATTTAATTAAATGGCAACTATTTTTAATCAGTGCACCATAGACACTCAGACAATAAACAACAGTGACAGTACACTTCTACACTGTCAACTGCCAACGTGACATTGACATTAGAGTTCGTGAAGTGGGAAAGAGAAAACGAATTCATCTCAATCAAATGTGCAAGGAAGGAAAGCCGTTGTCGCACGTGTTGTAACCGCGCGGTATACGTAGTTATGATAATACATTTTATTACATTAATCTAAGAATAACACTGATGCATGTTGCTTAAAGTCTATGCAACTGCGATATTGAAACACAGTGGTGCTATCAGAAAGTATAGCCAGTGTAATAGTAACGCTAAAATGTCTTTAGAAGAAGCAAAACAATTCGCCGCACGCCGGGCAGTTGATGAGTATATAAAGAAAGATTGTATTTTTGGTGTCGGTAGTGGATCTACAGTTGTTTATGCGGTTCAACGGCTCGCTGAACGTGTGGAGACTGAAAATTTGAAGGTGACCTGCATTCCCACATCATTTCAATCTAAACAGCTGATCATCAAACATAAGCTTACTTTGGGCGAGTTGGAAACGCATCCGGTAATTGATGTCACTATCGATGGGGCGGACGAAGTAGACGCCGAGATGACGCTGATCAAGGGTGGTGGTGGTTGCTTATTACAAGAGAAGATAGTAGCCTCTTGCTCTAAGAAATTTGTCGTTATAGCCGACTACACTAAAGATTCCGTGAAATTAGGAGATCGATACAAAAAAGGTATTCCAATAGAAGTTGTACCAATGGCATATGTTCCTGTTCAAAATAAAATACAGGCTCTATATGGTGGAGAAGTAAAGTTACGCAAAGCTGTTGCTAAGGCTGGACCTGTGGTGACTGATAATGGTAACTTCATCCTTGACTGGATATTCACCGACCAGGACTTGAAATGGGACAAAGTCGATAACCATTTAAAAATGATCCCTGGTGTGGTTGAAACAGGTTTGTTTGTACGTATGTGTGAGAAAGCTTACTTTGGGCAGCCTGAAGGTAACGTAATAGAGCGGTTTGGAATTGGCACTGTGCTGTAGTTCAGCGCCACCTAGCATCCACATCCTTGTTGGCTATAACATTCTATTATTTAATAGTCTGGCATTGTGGCTTGTACAGTATCTTTATTTAGCCAAAAAACTATATAAGCTGTTCATTTAGCTAAATTTTCTAAAGTTGTATATAAAATCTTTGACATTGTAATTCTATGAACACCAAACAAAACACAGAGCCGAAAATGTCACCCAAATTTATATAGCTACAAATTCATTAACTGTTTTTTAACAGTAGACTAAAGGAACAGTATAGTATAGTAGGTAGATGACTAGAACTGGCTCTCGTGATTTTTTGCCACCTATAATTTTATTGGTGGCAAAAAATCAAACTGATTTAATATACAGTGTTCATTTGAACATTGGTTTTGGGTACCATGGCGATCCATCAGCACTGAAGCGAAATATTTTTTTTGTAATTATATTCTATAAGCATTATATCAAATACATGATAAGGTCAGCTTTTCTTCTATGTAATAGTTTTAAGAACAACCTTATCAATATTTTTTTTAAACTAAACCTTATATTCCTAAAAAGTTATGTGGGATTGAAATGTTTGCATTGTATACAAAGAAATTAATATCTGTTCTAGCATGATGACTAGAGAATAGAGAAAAGCTTTCATATTCTTATTTTTGTTGTAAAAAAGACTATCAGTAGTACTAAGTAATTCCATATCAAAATTTATAAATGAACCTATTGGACTGTGATATAACATAAGATGATGTACCTAAATGATGAAATAGAGGTTTATCAGGGCCAAAGACTTGTTTATCAGTAAAAAAATGAACTTGTTATTTCACAATCAAACGCCTCATGGTTGGTTAGTAATAATTTGATAAGAATTTTGTTCCACTGATTTAAGCTAGCATCCAACGAAAAACAAAACATATTTGTTGGAAATCTCAGAATAGTACTAAACTTTTACAATAGAATGCATTTTTCTCCAAAATGAATGTTTTAGTACTTAACTCGTTGAGTACCGTCATTATAGACACGATTAAAGAACAATATGTTGCGATCACCGGTGACCGCTTGGTGTTTGACAGTTTAAAACAAAACTTATGTACTTCAATAAAAATATACTGTAAGTAGCTATAAAACAAATTATATTAATGCTAAATGAACTGTAACATCTTTAAAAAAATATTTACATACAAGTTATTATAAGAATAGAAAAATCAAACAAGAAATGCTACATAGCAAACAAATTGCAAATAAAAAACATTAGGAAAAGCAAATACTATAATGAAAACAACTATTGTACTTCTTTGATTTAATCAAATGAGAAACACTTCAAATAAAGATACAATTACACTTTGGCAAATAAAAATTAGGTACATACATAAAGTTGATAAAGAAATCAATTTTAGAGGTAGTACATTGATTATTGAGAAAATATGTATGTATTAGGCCTTAAGCTTAAACTTAATGTAATTTAAAACTTACAAACTAAGAGAAATTGTTTCCTTAGACAATAAAACCATATACACTGTGCTAAGCAACCAGATCTTGGATTCAGATCTTACTTATTATAGAATTAGTGTTTACCTGTATTGAACATGTTTAATACACATATTTGGAATGTATGTTTGCCTTTTTTGAATAAATATAATAATTTGAATTTTGTGTTGTAGTAAAATTATTTTATTTAATCGTGTAACATTGAACCTTGCAAGATTCTAATAGACTTATTTAGTTGGTAAGAGTATAGCCATGCACTGAACACATTTAAAATGCTGCCAATAAGACATCAGAAAGTTATAAATCTTAAGATTGAACAACAGTAAGAGCTAATTAAAACCTTAATTACAAAAATAAACTACTTAAAACCCACTCGATTTGTGCAAATCTTGTAACCAAATAAACTATTGAATTATGTGTGAGACACGCTAAACTAAAACTAATGTGAACAACTAACAATTTTTCATTGCATCCACTAAAAATAACTGGAAACATATTCTAAAGCAACAATGGTCACACTTGTGGTAAACTTATACTAAGACAAGATAATGTATAGTGATAAAGCTTAATACATCAAGAAATAATATGAAGCCTGATCAGAATATCTGATAAGTCACTGATATATTCTGTAAGATCTGTAAAATTTTATCCAACAGTTAGATCAATCAAAAACTTGAATAAGATATTGTAAAACAGGCTTTTAAAATACATAATTATGCTCAGCATTAGTTACCATTTAAACTTTAAATTTTTGTGAGTTTTCTATCTACATATAAGCTACCAGTTACAATAAAAAAATTATAGCTACATAGACATTTAATATTTCTAATCTGTGACAAAAAGTGAGATTATACTCTTATTTTTTCCCAAAAAATAATTATTGGGGTGGTAAAAGGAACTATTAGTATATTTATGCCTATCTAGATAACATCAAGATATATTTTTTTTCTTTAATTGGCAACTATGTCTCCAATTCAAAAAGATATTTAATTATATTTATGGGTAGTGTAGATGAAATTATCCATTATACTGGCTAAATAAAAACTGGATACCCTGTGGAAATTTTGATAGATACATTTTAAGAAGATAAGTCTATTTTAAATTTAAAATAATTGCATTATGTAAATGACTTAAGTAATTTGTTGCAGTCAAACATATTTTGAACATATCTACCACATAGTTGCATAGACTTCGGTAAATTCTAATAGAGACTTGTTTTCTTCATTATGCGCAAAAACTCCTCTTGATTTATTTCTCCGTCGCCATCTCTGTCTGCTTCATCGATCATCTCGTGCAGTTCCTCATCTGTCAGGTTTTCGCCGAGCTCCTTAGCCACTCTCTTAAGATTCTTAAATGAGATCTTACCTGAAATATTGAGGCAATACAATTTAATATAGAAACCAAACAAAAAATTGCTTGTCGTTTTTTTCTAATAATGACTCATTGCACAGTTATCAAATATCTAGTACATCATCTAACAAACAGAATGATAAAAAATTACTTGACCCGTACAAACATGTTTAAACTTGAATGAATCTTGAATCTTATTATTATTTGAATTTAGATTAGCTATACAAGTATCTTTTCTTTAGATCTTGGCTTTAGAAATGATGAAATTTTGTGTAATTCTTCTGAAATAAACTTTAAGTAGAACTTAATATGATATAATGTATACACACACCTGTCTCATCATCATCAAACAGTTTAAATGCTTTCATTATTTCTTCTTTAGTATCTTTTTCTGCCATCTTGACAGTCATCAACTCTTGGAAATCTTCAAATGATACTTTTCCATCACCTTTATCTATTTCTGCAATCATCTTTTTAATTTCTTCCTTCTTAGGTTCAAAGCCTAAAGCTCGGATAGCTACTTTTAATTCTTTTGTATCTATTTTCCCTGTATTTTCTGTATCAAAAAGATCAAATGCTTCCTTGATATCTTTTCTCTGTTCATCTGATAACTCAAACTTAGGTCCCGACTTCTTGCGCACGCCCCCTGTGTTGTTAGAGCCAACTGTTTTTTTCTGAACATTAGCTACAGCGTTTGCCTGAAATATAAAAAAGGAAAAGTGTACGTGTCGGTCCTTACTAGCATAAATTAACCGATATATTCAACAAGAAAAATATACCTAGTGGATTAGTACGTATTATGTTCTCGACAGTAAATAAAGGTTTTCATTTTCCTTTATGATATACAAATAAGACGGACAAACACAACAAACAGCGTGTGACAATAATAAATCAATATGTACAAACATTCACTTACCATAATTACAATAATTTATAAAACAATATATTCCGAAAAGCGCTTCACTTTGCCGTCTACAGGAGACGTATCATAACTATAGCAGTTTATGAGGACCAGAATTATATTTAATATATCGATCGAACTGCTATTTTTAATTTGAAATCAAATACCAATATTATTGATATGACCTGCCTGTACCTGTTGTCTTGACAATACTGACATTTAGTTGTCATCTGTCAGTGTTAGTTGTCATTGTCAAGTTCATGGGGTGCCTACTGCTATAAACACCATAGATAAAAGTGGGGTCCTATTATGGCGATATTTTCACTGGTGGTTTTCCATTCCAAAGTAAACATTAAATCACCCTAGTTCCCTGTAGGTTTAGCATATCGCTTACAACTTTTGATAAATGAAAATAAAAGCAGTTTATAAACAAAAAGTCATGTATTGCATTTAATTTTGGGTCGAATAAATTTTATTCAAATAACAATGGGTAGGTAATATTTTATAAAAACAAATCATAGAATAAATTAATATTTGATCTTTAGGCGGAACACCACTTTTAGGGTGCCGAGGGCATGGTTCCTATGGACTTCATGAGGTGATAGCAGTGGGGTAGGCGGCTTCTATGTCCTATTTTCTGCAGCGTGGCCGCCGCCTGGGCGAGCATACCGGCTCGCTCCCCGGGCGCAGCTAATACTGCAGCCGGTAAGTGCTTGCACGCCATGTACAATGCCACCGCGCGCTCTCCGTCACCGCCGCCGCCTTCTAGGGCTCGCTCTGGTAGACGAAAATGTATTTATAGGTAAAATATATTTATGGATAACTATAGCTTATATCATTTCCAATTTCTTTAACCTTTCCAATCACGTATAAATGAAAAATCATATAAGCACGAAACTTACTATTTTGCATAATTAGTTGGTTACATCCGTAAATTAAAATGGTTTCTTACCTTTTCCACAAATAATAGAAGATCGATTAAGTCTGGGCCTAAGGCTACCGTCAAGTAGTTGTTGAGTACGTCGCGGTGCCGCGCCCGCCATCATACGACACACTGCAGATTGCAGGAACACACGCGATGTCACCCACTGAAACATTATGATTAAATAGTTTAGTTTTGGCCAAGGGATCATAAATGTAGACTATTATTGGGGATTTTGTTTTCGGAACTCTCACTGAAACTAAGCTTGAAATTTGAACATGGTGTTATATATTACGTCATAAAATTTGAATTTTGCAGTATTTTTCACGCCAGAATGTATCACTGCAAGAGATAATCCAGTATTTAAAATACTTACCGGTAAATTCTGCGATATCCGTCTCAAGGAATGCAGATCTCGTTGGAAAGCGCGCAGTTGTGCGTGCGGTGCGCAGAAGCCGTCAGTTTGCCTGGCGCCGGCCGCCTCCCACACCCCCGCGCGGACCTCCAGCACCCAGTCACAGCATAGCACCTGCATCAACTGCCCATAACACATAACTAGTTAGTAAAGTATTTTATTATTATTTGTTAACACAGAAAACATTGAATTTGGATTTCCTTTCACTGACACGAAGAGTTGTTAGGAAAACGATACATTTCTGACAAATGATTAATTACATTTAGGAACATACTAAAGTCCTTAGAAGAGAGATTTTCTTAATTTTTTTTTTCTAAAAATGTCCTAACCTCTTATAGTAGGGGAATGTATAGTATTTCTAGTGACTCTGTCTGTACCGTACGTTACAAATTTATTAAAGCAATTAGTGTATCTTAAAATGCAGCAAAAGTTCGTCTTTTCAGCAAACTTGTGTTTTCGATAATTTTAAGTTTTGGTGCAAACATAATTATATCATTTGTAACATACAAATTAATAACAAAACTAAGCACAAGATTAATGTAAAACGTAAACTAAAATTAATAAATTTACATTGTTAAAAAGCTAATTAAAATATATACTCTATTTTAAATTACTACATGAAGCTTAGTTATAATTTTAACTGCAAGTGCTTGACTCAGCAAGGACGATGTTATTTAAACATAGTCACATCACATGCTGCTATTCAAAATATTTTGAAAATATAGCACAACATGATAGACACGCTGTCCGATCTATGGGAGTGTTTGAATCGAAAACTATGTATTGAATGTTTGGGTCGGAAGTGAACTATCCTTTAAAGATAGGGAGTAATCGTGAGTGACATATTCATTGCAAACAAATAAATAAGTTTCTACACATGCATTTTCACAAGATTATCCAAGAACAATGATCAAAACTACTAGGTAACACTAAGGCAATATGTACTATCTACTTAAAACTAAATATAAAAGCAATAAAGATAAAAATAAACCATGCAAGAACATCTTCGATGCGGCGGATGCAACTAATGCGAGATTTGCCTTGTAGTAATATTGCACAACTCATGTAAACCAGTGCAATGCAACTACAATGCACTCCCGTAATAGTTATGTCTTCAAGCTCCATCTAGTTGCTAATATCATTCAAAGAATAAAAACTGAAATGAGCATAAAAATAACAAGCAACAAAATAAAATAAATGGTAAAAGTGTATTATAATAATGTGATTGAAATCGTTAAGTTTTTGATACTTTACAGTACTTACCAACATAAGTTGCGTTGGTTTTCGGCAACAGTAGTAGGCTAGGGAATCCGCTAGTCTGGTTCCAGCGATGTCACACACCTGTAATATGAAAATAGAAACAATTTATTATAGGTACAACATCACGCCTTTTATCCCCGAAGGGGTAGGCAGAGGGTGCACATTACGGCACTTAATGCCACTGTACAATGTAACACCCACTTTTCACTATTTATATTATGAGTCCCATGTGATAGGGGGTGAGCCTATTGCCGTATACCGGGCACAATTCCAGACTCCGTGCTACTGCTGAAAATTTTAAAACCCAGTAATACTTTGCCCGACTCGGGAATCGAACCCGAGACCCCTTGCCCGGCAGTCGCACTTGCGACCATTCGGCCAACGAGGTAGTCAATTGAGTGTAATTTATTTTATTACACTCAATTCTTGTATGTGTATAAAAATAGAATTTGTAACATAACTAGCGAATAATAAGATGCATTTAAAGCAAGTCAGATTCAAATTCTTCAAATGCAAATGCACTTGTTACAGTAGGACAACGTTCCAATTAGAATTGAAGCAGGCAAATAGAAAAATATTATCTAAACGTAGGCCTCTTAACGTTAACTATTCAAATCGGATACATAGTTAACTTTATATGGAACTTTATATGGAACAACAACTACGGGATTCCTCAATAGGTACAGCAGTACTTAGTAAAAGACGAATTTCTCACCGAACATTATCACCGATGAATAAATTCACTCACTAGTTGTCTACTAGTAGAGAATAAACACTGAATGTAAATAAATTGCACACACCTTAAGTATGGTTTCAGCGGTCCTCTCGAACGAGCGTTCATCTCGACACTGAGCGAGGCTCAACAACCCGCGGCGGCTTTTGTATGCCATATGCAATGCCCTACGAATAATAGTACAATAGCTATATTTTCATCAGCTCATGTTTATGCTATGAAAGACAATAGTTATTAATACAACAACTATAAACTATACACTTTTGTTTTATAAACACCAGTGCGACTAGAATTTCTAAGTTTTCGCATGTATGACAATCTTCTCATTGTTAATTCGACGGCTGTTCAATAATAATTTATATATGTTATTGACCCGCATTTTATACACGGACGATAATTATACGTACACCATTAATTTAGTTGTGTTAACCAATCTATACGGTGTTTAAAACCAAAGTGTATTAGTTAAATATTTCATCTGAATTTGATTTATGACTAAGGTAAGTCTTACTCTAAAAATTCGGCATGAAAATATTAGTTCCAGTAACGTTAAATTCTTATATCAAGTATACGTACCCTGGCAAAGGATCTTCACAGTTAGCAAGAGGTTCAGGCAACATGTTGAGACGGTCGCCGATCTCCACGGCTTTGCCAGTGTCGGCCAGCAACCAGGTAGCGGCGACACCTACGATGTTCGCCCACCACTCCATCACGGGGTCCCAACAACCTGGTCGGTGAATATCAACTATTTATTTAATTTTATGTGGTAGTTCATTGGTTGATAAAGACAAGATTGATAATTTGTGTGAAATTTCAATGTTCAAGGCTCAATCTTCCCCTCATCCCCACTTCAAATTCTCAGAAGGCCGACGACGCGCTTGTGTAACCTCTGGTTTAGCGGGTGTCCATAAGCAGCGCCGATTGTCGGTGACCATTGGTGCTGCCACAATGATCCCATAAAAAATTACGATTTTAAAGAAAATAGATTTGTCTAATAGAGAAGAAATGAAACAAATGTAATGTTGCGCTTATGTTAATTTTAACTAATAATATTCTTTGTGTAATTCACAAATTGTTCCAGATCTGAGTGTGAACTGTGTGTGACATTGTGTTTGACAGGACAGTTTGGAGTTAATTTTAATTATTAATTTGTATCAGGCAACGAAGGCCCCTATTAAAATACAATAATACTATAATGTCTACTATGATTTAAACTTAAAATACTATAAATACATATGTAAGTAAGTCATAAATTTAAATTAATGCTGGTGTGGGGTTAAAATGCGATTAGCCACCATAGAATACTCAGAAATAAGCACCAATATCCCCTTATTTTTAACGATCTAACTGCCACCATCAGGCCATCGAATGTGGAAAGCGATTCTGATAAAAGCACCGTTCCATAAGAAAAGCCTTTGTTCAGTAGGAGCGTGTTACTGCTAACTATGATATAAAGTTGTATAGGACACAAACCTGTATGATGTGGCGCATCCGTGGACACGTCATCAGTGATCAACTTGATAAGTTCCAGTACATCGCGCGTGTTACTGCGCTCGTCAGCACAGAGGAGCATTTGTAGGCTCTTCTGAAGTAGTTCCAAGTGATACGCCTGCGAAAATGTACACAGATTTGGTAAGCCTTTATCTATTTTGATACGTTTTTAAAGTAAGATCTTGTCGTGTTATTCCTTAACTTTAATAAGCTTCTTATATCATATAACATCACGCCTTTTATCCCCGAAAGGGTAGGCAGAGGTGTACATTACGGCACTTAATGGCACTGTAATGTAACACCCACTTTTCACTATTTATGTTATGAGTCCCATGTAATAGGGGGCACCGCACAGTCCCATGTAATACCGGGCACAGTTCCAGACTCCGTGCTACCACTGAGAAAAACCCAGT